CCCCCTTCTAAAAGATCTGTAATATCAGTGGAAATATCTGCAGTTTCTTGCCTTTTTGAAGATGCACAGCGTGTACCAACACTTAAATACTGTTATAAATCATGTCGTAGGACACATCAATAGCCTTCAAAAACCAAGAAACTGCAGTTATTTCTACTAATTTTCCAGATTGTTGAGAAGGAGGTCAAACATGACCTCCATTAGTACTGCAAGGGTTAATAACTAGATTAAATTTATAATCTATCTCAAATTCGACGATATTTTTGTGAAATTCACATATATTTTACGAAAGAAAATAGTGAGTGTAAACTATAAGCCAAAGTTTTGCGCCTTCCCTTTTATTTGAAAGATGAGACTCTAAAGGTTATGCATATATAAAATTATTTTCCATCGAGTATAAACCGGCTGTAAAATGAATCAAACGAGACTAGTTACTTTTTTGGTCTTGGCATTCAAGAAATCTACTCTACCGTATACATTCATTCTGTCTATAGTACCATCGTTTCCAATATGAATATTTCTCTCCCTGTGAGTTCTAATGAAGGATAAATTTCTTTATGTATACCAGTTAAGCAAATAAATTTACATATTGTCGCTATTTACATACATCTAACTCAAAAAAATCAAACACTGGTATAAAAAATTATAATAGCTGTTTGTAGACAACATATCTCTAATAATAAATACTCTGTTCTTTTTAATATTTCTCAATGTGTATTATGCAGCATTTTATGACATTCCCTGACTTTCTCTTTTTTTACTTTTCCAAATAATCATCATAAATATTATTTAAAATTATTTGCTTCTATATTTTATTGCACAGATTTTTCATATTATTACAAAATAAAAACTGACATCTGACAATATTCTATTCAAACTAACTTTGAGAGAAGGAAATATGATTAATTTTTTTAGTGACATAGAATTTGTTTTTTTAACTAAGCAGAAGCAGAGAAATCTATTTCATTTTCACATAAGAATAAATCAAAATTCTATTTTAACACTGTTTTATCTTGATTTAAATCGATTAATTAATAAGACATATCAGAAATACCAAAACAGTATTCAAAGAGAAATAACTTATGTTTTCTTGATTTTAGATTGTAAAAGTATTCGATTATAGATAGAACAACAACTATAAACATGAATAACAGAATCGAGCCTGATGAAGTAATGTATTAAATAGAAAGAAAAAAAATACTATTTTCTTTTTGAATGTTTTAGTTTGTTGAAGTTAACTCTAATACAACACGATTACGAAGATTGTATGTATATAGTATGAATTATAATAAATTATGAAAAAAATTTCTTATTTTAGAGATGAACATTTTCAAAAGCGAAAATTAATTTGGATAATGTTTTTCATTATTTTAATTGTTGTAATTATAGTTATTGCAACAATTATTGCTATAATAAACAAAACAAAGAGAGAGAAAACATCAACAGCAACAACATCAACAATAGAGATAACATCATCAACAACAAGTGAATTATTAACAACAACAACAACAACAAGAACAACAACAACAACAATGACAACAACGACAACAACAAGTGAATTGTTGACAACAACAACGACAAGTGGTATGATTTTATTAAAATTAGTTCATTTCCGATCTCAATGAATTCTTAAAAGAGAAATTATTGTTAAATTTAGTTTTTCTTTATCCAATTTTAGATATTTTATTCGATTAATGACATAAAATAGTTTAATCTTCGATAGCTAATAGTCGTACATTATACTTCTATAGAATAATATTGAAAGGTTCAGTGAAAGGTGAATGAGCATGTAGTATCGAATTCATAGTTCATTCATCTACACTCACACATACATTCTCATACTTCATATGTAGTGATATTGAAATATGATGTTGAATAAAATAAAATATGTTTTATTTTAAGAAATAATTTTTAGATAGAAAGAAAAGAAAAGAAAATTGAAACGTTTTTTAATGTTTTATAGAACAATTCGTTTCTTCTGTTACTATTAATAATAATACGAAATGGAAACAGAATGCATGTACTGTTGCTGGAGGAAATGGACTGGGAAGTAAATTAAATGAATTAGATGAACCTCAGGGTATTTATGTTGATAATGATGATCAAAATATTTACATTGCTGACACTGGCAACCATCGTATCGTTAGATGGGAATTTGGTGCAAACATTGGTACGATTGTTGCAGGTGGAAATGGACCTGGAAATGAAATATTTCGATTGAATACTCCAGTTGATGTAGTTCTTGATAAAGACAGGAAATATATCATCATTTGTGATCAGACCAACGCACGAGTGACACGATGGTCTCGTCAAAATAATCAGGATCGTCAGCTATTGATACCTGACATTTTGTGCTGGGGTTTAGCAATTGACAATAATGGAGATCTTTACATTTCTGACTTTCAAAACCATGAAGTCAGACGTTTTCAACAAGGAGATAAAGAAGGTATACTTGTAGCCGGCGGAAATAATTATGGAGATGGGCTTAATCAACTCAATCAACCTAAGCATATATTCGTTGATGAAAATCATTCAGTTTACGTAGCGGATTATATGAATAATCGTGTGGTGAAATGGATGAAAAATGCGAACGAGGGTATTCTTGTTGCTCCAGGAGAAGTTTCTAACGAAGATCCCAGTTCAATGTCTAAACCGATAGGTGTGATTGTTGATCATATAGGTAATATTTATGTGTCGACGAATGGAAATCATCAAATAATGCGTTGGTCCCCAGGTGCAACAGCAGCTATTGCTGTCGTTGGTGAAGAAGAAGTAGGATGGACGCCCACGCATCTCTTACTCCCACGTGATTTATCATTTGATCGTCACGGTAATCTTTATGTTGTTGATATGATCTACACTAAAATACAAAAATTCGATATTGATCTTGATTGAAATAAGTTTTTGATGATAAAGTGACTTTTCATAAATAATTCTTTTGTGTCACTTTTAAAATATTTTTTATTAATAACGAATAAAGTTCATTAAAAGTATGATTAATAATCTAATTTATCTTTCAACTTGTAGACACAATCGTTTTAGATTCCTTTTATGATTTCTATTCATTTTTGCCAATCTGCACTACACAATATTCTAATAAAAAACTTTCAATGCGATTTATATTTCTATGTAGTAAAAATTAGTAAAGCTATCGAGTTGAGAGTGTGTGGGCCCGGGTGAGGATATAAAATCGTCTCAGACGTACAATTGAATCGCAATTCATACCCAGATTTTTCATTAACTTTGTTTGAAATAAATATATACTCAGACACTTAAAAAAGATAAGAGATGAGAAAAAAAAGCTGCTGATGGTTTGATGATGATGAATATAATCCATATGAACATAAGCCAATGACGTACTTATGTCATGCGAATAAATTCTCATGTGCAATTGATGGAGAGCTTTTATATGTGTAGATAAATAATGTATGAATGATCGATGCAGAAAACTTATTTTTGAAAAGGCATTCCAATAACACACTCATTAAATTAATCATCAATCATGTTTTGTTTTATTATTTCTTTAAGATTGGCTACCATTTTCGAGTCACTTCATATAAATAAAGAAAAAAATTCGCCTGTCGAAGAACTCCTTGAGGGTGGGTGTTAGTGTGGGTCTGAACATCTAGTATACATGAGAATCATATCAACACCCACACTCGCACTCATCCTCTGTTAAAAAACATTCTATTCTGATATATGAAGTCATGAAAGTTAAGGAAAATAGTGAGAGAAAATGCTTATCTTAAATAAAATCAATACTGACATATAAAGTGATGGATGTTAGGAAAAAAGAAAAAGGTAAGTTTTTTCTCAATTTTAATATATATGTAGACACACACATATCCCTGTCAGTGAGGAAAAAATGGAGAAAACAAATACTTTCTCAGATTTTCTTACTTAAATGCTCCTATACTATCTTGAAGGCTTTTATAGTGAGCGTCATTTTCTTTAACTTTTATGTCATTTGCAGTTTTCGTTTGTGCTTACGAAAGATCATTAATTATAACGATGTATTTACATTATTATCATATGAATTGAGGGCATTCTCTTTTTTTTAATAGAAAAATCTTTATTGTTTCAAATAGTTTTCATGTAATATCAAAGTAATTGTATTTCATAAGAGTGAAATTCTGTGCAATGAAAGTTTTTTATATCATCTTTTTCCGATTTCTTTTAGATTTAATTTAATAACATTGCAAAACTTTGATGAAGCTTTACAAATGGAGAAACAAAACAGAATACGTGTTTGTGATATAATTTATTATAAGAAATAACAAAAACTAGTTTTTTTTTCTTCACTTTGTAGCCTCAGTCAGTTAACAGCGATATAAGTGAAACACAACCTACACAATCGACAAGATCGTACGTGTATTCTGAGCTTGAATAAATTAAAAACAAAATTATTTTAGATGTGTATGCATTCCAAGTAAATTGACGTGGATCATATTTTTTATTACGATAATAGCGATCATTACTATTCCAACAGCTACTATTCTCACGAAAAGGGAAAACGTTGTTGAAACAAATTTAACAACAATAATGATGACAACAACAGCAAAAGGATCGATAACAACTAAAGAAGCAGGTATGTTTGTGTTCAAAGAGAGATAAAAAGAAGTTGATCGATTACTTACAATAACTTATAACAGACTCTTTAATGAAAAAACATCAATCATATATTGTTAGTTAATTCTTACTTGTCTAATCTGATTGAAATTCCAGATACTTCATTATTATTTTTCATAAAAAAGAATAAATATAAGAATCCTTTATTTTTATAAACTAAAGAAATGTATTTTCTAGCAAATCCTGTTTTTTTTCAGGTTTTTTCAATGTAACTTACAAACAAAGTCAGATCCATAGACACAAATAAAATATCTGAAAAAGTTTCTTTTCATATATTTTTTATAATATCAAACGAAGCTGTGACGGTAGTGATAAGATAGAATATCGATTAATATATTCTGTTGCTATGCCAGGGATTTGCCTCATTATCTACTATAGAAAGAAATCTTTTTTTATTCTTTTTTTTTGGAAATATAAGGATTCTATTTATGTTTATTTGATACAATAAAGACAAAGTAATTTCTCTAGCTGAAACAATAGTAAAGATCGAAGATTAACGAATGATGGTGTTTCTGATGATACTGTCTTTTTGTATGAGAATGTGTTATTTATTAGTTTTTGTTATTTTTGCTCTATTTGATTCGAAAAAAATTAAGTGCTCATTGTGACAGTATGTTTACACCGAGCAAGTCGAGATGTATATTCTTTCGTAAAGAACTTTATTGCTTGCGATGGGTGCGGTGTGGATGAGCGTGTAGGTGTGGATACGACAGATACAATACGCACACACTCCTACTCCCACCTACATCGTCGCATGTAAATTAAATGATTATTACATTCAAATATTCCTTTCTAGTATGGATACTTACTGGCAACATGGGCAGTGCGCGATTGTTTCACACACAAGTCACATTGAAAAACGGAAATGTCTTAGTTGCTGGTGGACTCAGTATGAGTGACACATTGAGTAGCGCAGAAGTGTACAATCCATCCACAGGACGTTGGACAGCTACTGGTATCATGAATAGTCCGCGATATCAACACACGGCATCCATATTGACAAACGGAAATGTCTTAGTTGCTGGCGGAGACAGTATGAGTGGCATA